GTCATGACATTCGACAGGATATTTGGGCAAAAAAATACATAGAGTTTTAATTAAGTATTTAAAAAAAGTATTTAGGGTTATTCATAAGCAACATGAGATTCAAGATTTTTGGTGAATAAAAGGCGTCTTACTTTCCGAATTTAATAACAGGCTCAGTAGCCAGAACCTTGCCGCGAAATTTGGTAAACTCTGTTATATAAGGAAGGCCAAGCATGCTCTTCGTGTTCGAGACAAGAATAACGTCGACAGTGTCCCAAAGAATCGATTCACACTAGGTACGGAAAGGGCGGTACAAAAAATACATCCATCTACGCATTAAAAAACGTTCTACACTGCAAGGTTATGAAAATAATCAAAGATTTAAATTGAATTCTAACCCGTTCTGATGGGAGCATTGAGAAGTTAAGTTCAGTGTTAAAGTATCCATGTCCACCAACAGTGACTATCTATTTGCGTAATAATATTATAAATATTCTACTGACTTCCTCTCCGGTATCACTCGAAGAAACAAAAGGAGGGAGCTCTGAAGTACCTGGGCTTCAAAATAACTATAGGCTAGACATACCATGCGAGTTGGTGCAGTGGAAGAAAATAAGCTAAAAGACTGCAGTCAATACAACAGTCTATTAGGATATTAACGTCTCGCAGGCTTATAAGATGACATGGGTTGTGGACATCTTCATTTAGTCTCCTCTAGAGAAAATGCAACAAAATAGGAACGCACTATGTTTAAGACATCGGAGGGGGAATGCATCTGGCCCTGGAGAAAAATGACCTTTGAGAAACGCGGTTGAGAAAGCACAATACATGAAATATTAAAAAAATATTTGGAACCCAAGACTAAGGATAATTTTATATAGTTTAGGTATTTTTAAAATCGTTTTTCTACATAGACAGAAGTATACATAGAAACTATTCAAAAACATATTCTTATTTTTAACTAATCTATTGATCGCCTTACCAGTATCCTGATTTGTCTAATTCTGCTGACAGCTAATTTTCATGCCCAAGTTGAACCCGGTGCAGGCAACGAAATATAACTCTTTTCGTAATCATTCGCATCGAGCTCAACCGGGCAGTTTTGAACGCTTACAATATTTGCAAGCTCTTTTGAAAGAATATACAGAAACGGATTTACCTGAATACAAGGAACAGGTATTGACTTCAAATAAATATACCCTCAGATCGTCGCTAATTTCGCCAATTTTTCTTATGATCCTAGAAACAGTCCCCACTTATTACAATTAAACATTCTTGATCTCTTTTGTGATATTATAAAAATTCCCGCCGAGATATGGCTCTCTAAGTGTAAGTCGCATATTTGCTGATGCCTTCATCCTCCTGGGTTAATACTCTCTTATATTTAAATTTTTATTCGTTGGATTGCTTCTCTGTTATTCATTTAGTCGATAACCCACATTTATAATTGCTTCTGCACGCATCATTTGCGTTAATTATATTTCAGCCTCAAATTTAGCGACTTCTAGTGAAACGTCTTCTAGTGGTGATTCACTCTCCCAGCATCAAATTCGACTTGCTTCGTTTGCTGTCGCCGGTCTTGCGAATCTCTCCTCTGCTTCTTCTAGTAACCGCGCCAAACTGCTCGCACACCCATGTCTCCCTCTTCTAGTTTGTTGTCTTGCCTCTCCTGATTGTTCAATAGTTGTAAATACATTCACGATTCTCATACATTTGGGCTCTGGCAATTCTCTTATTACAGAACCAAGTCAAAGCTTAGGCGCTAGATTTCCAAGTGCAAAAAAAGCTGCGGAGGCATATCAATCTGCGGCTAGGACCTCTACGTTGCCTGATAAAAGGATAGGCATTTTGGCAAGCATATTTTTGGAGGATTGCTGTACTCCTAGAAAAATTGTTCATATTGTTCATGATATTTAATTATTATGCTCCGTACATTTGCGCTGTCTTCACACATTTCATTTGCTCAGGAATGTGTCCACTATTGCAGTCCTAAGTCTGGAGCGAGCAATGCTTTTTTTATTGTGAGTAATGGACTACATTATGATTAAAATTGAGCTTCACACTTTTTATCATTAGTATTTTCGTGTGTTACGTTATATACATATACTCTACAACGAGATCTATGTAGTTGATTTTTGTTTTAGTGGTTTTATTTTTAATTTTATTTTAGTTGCTACAGGTTATCCTTCACAAATAATACCTAATATACATACAAGTGCATTGAAAATTTAATTCTAAACATTTTT